AGTGAGGTTTTTTTTTTTTTTTTTTTAAGGTGCAAAGTTGGCGAGACTAAGAATACAGAGTTTGGGTGTATGGGAAATAGACATAATAAGGGCTTTTATTTGCTAGAAGCTTTCACTTGTCTCCATTGACGACAGGGCTCTTTGCTAACACCGCTGGCATTCTAGGACCCTTGTCATCTTTGACTTTGCCCTCCAGTTCCCGAATGCTCATAGAGGCCCTGTGTTAATATCACCTCTGCCTGCTGCTCTCTCAGGCCCTGGGTCCCCCAGAATATGGATTGTCTTCACTCTGAGGCTTCCACGGCCACTTACGCAGAGCAGGTATCATAGCGCATGGTGGTTGTCTTCCACACAGATTGTGAGCTGTGTTCCCACACCCAGCACAATCCTGGCAGTGGCTCACAATGAATCGAATAGTACTATGGGAGCAGAAAATTCTGTGGTTCACACAGCACCTACTGCCATGTGCCAGGCTCCACTCTTTTCTGAGAAAACTTAGAGAAGTTAATTTGCCCAGAATCATGGCAGTACGTTACATGGGTAATCGCTTCCTTTGAGGATGCAAAAAATGGTACAATCGAATCCAAGTTGGAATCTTGTCACATGTTAATACAAGTGGACACAGGCCCAGGACACCATGCATTCTAAAGTTGTTTTCTTCCATTCAATCAACTATTCTATGCTGGGCATTTCCAAATTCACAGGTTACAGTAACTAAGCAAGCTTTATACTGTGACTTGCTTTGCCTGCTACAATTTATTTCTCAGATCTTCAATGTATATGCTCTACACAACTTTTCCACACATTTGAGCACAATTTTTACTTAATACTTGTCTTTCTCACCAATATTTGTAGAGTTTCTGTAAGTGAAAGCACAATTCCTGAGATGGTCTAACTAGTAGCTGCAGGGGGTACAAAATCACAGTAATTTCTCGCTTTGCTGTCATACAACCATGCGTGGGAGTGTTTGCATTAGAAATGTATCCTGCTTTCAGCCCTGCGGACTTTCAAAGCCACATTATGAAGCTTTAGTACAAATAAAGGAAGTGGCTGTATTAGCAAATTCAAAATAGGCACTTATCTTTTTCCTTTTTAGAATGAGGAAAAGAAAAATCAAGTCTAGGTGGAACAAAAACAATCTATGGCCATGATGTCCCTAGCACATTTGGTTGGATAATGGTTGGCTGTTGAGATCCCTCCTTGAGTTCACTTTAAGGTCGCATCTTCACCAACCTGGCCCCCAGGTTCTCGTTTGCAGCACTTTCTGAAAGTCTCTTGATTATTGTTTTTGTTTCCTCCCCGAGGATGTGAGCATTACCAGGGCTCTGCAGACCTTCCACCTAGAACTACAAACAGGCTGACGCTGCAGGTACCCAGGAAGCCTCATGAATGAATGAGCACAAGCCCATACCCTTTCTCTTCCCAATTCTTTGTTTGTGAGGATGTGCGGCTTGTGTGTGCATTGGAAGGTGTCCACATGGGTTTCATAGATTCAGAGTTGCAGCTTTCTGTATTCTCTGTTGCTTGGAGAGAGGACATTTGGGGTTGAGGCCCAAGTCCTTCAAAACACAAAAAACCATTTTCAAGTTTCTGTCAGGAAGCGAAGATCTCTCAAGTGTGTGTTGAGAACATGAAAGTCAGCCCAAGCAAAGTGTCAGGGTTCTGTGCAATGGTGGAATCAACAAAAATAAAGAGCTTTATTTTTTTTAATATAGAGCATTTCGGGGGAAAAGAACGCAACCACCTGGTTTACAAAAAGACAATCTATATAAGCAGTAAATGTGGACACTATTACACAAAAAGTTGGGACGTGTTACCCAGATTTTGAGTTAGTGTGTGTTTAAAAATCTCAGCCCACTGCCTGAACATTACTGTTAAAATTAATAGCTGCTCACAGTGTAGGTGGGGCTGGTGTTCTGGGCTGGGCTCCCATCTGCCTGCCTGCCTGCCAGCCTCTACTGACGCTGTCTCAGACAGAGACCATGTGATGTGCACTCCAGGTATGGCCAGGTCACTTCAAGTGATGGATGAATCATTTTATCAGGAACGAATGATAAATGACTTCTGAAATTGGAATTACTTAATTCAGACCTCTTGCAAATATGGAGATTTTCTTTCATACATGAGCATGGGATATGCTTTCCATGTAAGCAAGGGTCAACCAAGGGCAGGTGTCACCACTTGCCCTGCATCCCAGCCCCCTTGCTCACTTCTTAGAGCCGGCTTGGTGCTCTAGCCCCAGGTTGTGAAGCCAAGGCTCCCAGGTTAACTGGTGCAGGGAAGTTGTCCTAACTCCTCTGTGACTAATCTGAGTCTCAGTACAACCTCTAACTCTAGGTCTGCAGTTAACACTTGGATTTGATGTCGATTTAAATATCACAGCTGCCAGCTGTTTAATCCAGGATCAAAGCAAGAATTTGAGCAAAGTAGGGGTGAGGGGAACAAATGCAAGACCTACCTCTGTGAGCTTGACCAAGGAGACTCTTGATCCAGCACAAGATCATGATCGACATAATCTCTATATAGGAACTCTATAGGAACTAAAGCAATTTTTTAAAAAATCACGTCAGGAAGGGTGGCGTAGTGCCTAAGGCATTTAACGGCTAGCCAGAAGGCTGGCAGTTCAAACCCACCAGCCACTCTTTGGAAGGGAGGAAAGGCAATCTACTTCCATAGTAATACTGCCTCAGAAACCCAAGGAGGGGCCGTTATGAGTCGGGACACTCCCAAGCCATCCCTTCTGTATTCTCTGGCTGAGTTGTATCCTCAGCAGCAGAGTTGAGTGATTGTAATGTACCATATGGCCGACAAAGCCTAAAATATTTACTATTTCACTCTTTTAACAGAAAAAATTCTGCATCAAATTTGAGCATCCATTTAATGATAGTGAAGGATTACTTCTGATATTTACAAATAGATAAGCCTCAAACTGCATTGCAGGCCTGGGCCTATAGAAGAGCATTCTGCCTCTAAAGCATAGGTTCACCCTGGCCTCACAGGCCCTGGGGAGCATTTTAGATAAAAATGACGCCCAGGTGCCAATGCAGACAAGTGGAATCAGACTCTCCGGGGGTGTGTCCACACTGGCATCTTTGAAAGCTCCCAAAATGGAGAGTCACTGCTCTAGAAAAAGTCAAAGAAACGACTCCATCTCTCCTGCCCTGGCACTGTGCCCCTTGCCCTGCACAGCAGAGCCCACTGAAAAGACAGCATTGCTTCTATGATATTCTGCCAAAGGTGCATAACCCACATTGAATCATGAGACTATATCAGGCAAACCCAAACTGAAGATACTCTACAAAATCTTCAAGTGTCAAGGTTGTGAAAGTCAAGGAAATTGAGAGGAACTATTGTAAATGGACAGAGACCAAAGAGCTAAGACAACATATCAGCCATGATCCTTACCTAAATCCTTTTGCCAAGAAGGCTGAACAGTGAGTAAACCTTGAATGGGGTCTCTCCATTAGGCGGTGGTAATGATTTTGAGGATCATGTTGTGTAACGGGAGACCCTCCATAGTACAAATGGTTAACTCAGCTGCTGAACAAAAAGTTGGAGGACTGCGTCTACCCAAAGGCACCTTTCCAAGGGCTGCAGATCTACTTCTAAAAACAGCCATTGAAAACCCTATGGGGCACACAGTTCTGCTCTGACACACATGGGGTCGCAGGAGCAGTCTTTCAGTGTAGACTCGCAGGCACTGGTGGTTTGGTTATAGAAGGGCAGTATGCTAAGACACTGTTTCTCAAATAGGCATGCCGGTCCCCCAAGGAGGTTCCCAAAATGCAGCTTCTCACTCAAGGGGTCTGGGTGGGGCCTGAGATTCTGACAAGCTCCCAGGTGGCACCATGTTGCTGGCTGGGCACCACCCGTGAAGTAGCAAGTGCCTAGGGAACTTGTAGTGAGCTTTTGCTATTTGCCTCCCAAACATCCACTTTGCGCCACCACCACCCCCTCTTTTTTGGTTCCAGATTCAAATTTTCCTTTGGGAACAATCCTTCCCCAGTCTCAGCACATGTGTCTTGGGTGAGATGGTCCTTGGTGCATGTAACCTTGGCCTGCATCATATCTTGCCTGGCCACTATGAATGGTCGGAGGCTGGTCCTGAGACCCAGTAAGATGCAATTCTAAGAGGCCTGGCTGAGCTGATGTAGCCTCAGTAAACCTCTCTCTCTTCTGGAGCCTTCCTGGGCACCCAAGCTTTGCAGGGGTATGTAGGCAAATGTTCAGGCTTTGCATTGTACCCTGCAATTGTTAAAGGCCTCAAAGACTTTTCTGACCCCTGATTGGCTCCACCACATGGTAACTGCACGACCTTAGCAAACTGAAGATTTCTGTGCCTCGGTTTCCTCATCTATAAAATAGGATCTACCTATCTCAAAATACTGTTTTGAGAATTGAGTTAAAGTGTTTTTTGCTCTGTAACTAGAGCAGAGTAGATGCTCTGAGCATCTCAGAGCTTGAGCAGAGTAGATGCTCAATAAATTTAAATGTTTTTCGGTATGGTTTTTGGAACTCCACACCAAAAGACTGTTACATTTTACAAGATTGCTTTTTGTATTCAGAGTGGCTTAACCAAGTTTGGAGACCCTGGAAGATGAAGAAGAACCTTTAATTCATTATTATGTTGTTATTTCCTTTGGGGCCTAACTATTCCTGCATAGCCTAGCTACTCAATTCTTACATAATTTGTTCCCATCTTGCATCAAATTGCTTATGTAAATACATATCACGAAGAAATAAATTAGCAACGATTTAGGTGCCACAGGTTTTCATGTTTCCAGAAATTGCAAGCTCCTGGCCAGTGAGCAGAAGCCTCTCCGACTGTCTTTATTCTGTTGCCATCCTGTGGCCAGTCTTTGCCACTGCAGCCCTGTGGCCGGATGTAGCTGAGCATCTGTGTCATCATTGTCCCGGGGAAGAGGCTCATTGGAAAGAAGGGAGTGCAACTGGAAGGTCTGTTCAAGTCGCCCACCAGCAGTCAGAAGTCTGGATGTGTGTCACCAGTCTTGTCTGGATTTCTGTTTGATGAACCTCAAGGACACATAGTATAGGATAATGAAGCCACTGCTGATGCCAATGAGGATGAGGTAGATGGCATAGAGGGGGTATGTGTTCAGGTCCATGGCACTGAGGATCTGGAGGCACAAACACTCAGTGAGCTCATTAAATAACGTTCAGTTGGATGTTCATTCATTTTCATGAAAAAGAAACGGGTTGCTGTCTGAGGCCCCTTCATTACTTACTCTGTCTCCTGGGATGTGGATGGTGAGATTGCCAACCTCCATGAAATAAGTGTGCCCATTAAAATGAATCTGCATCAGCCCTTCAAAACACCACCGAAGGAAGGACACTTTGGAAATCCATGCAGGCACTGGAAACAGTGAAGGCCACTTTAGTCACATGACCTGACCCACCCATACAAGGGCAAAACTTGCTCCCCAGGGGTATGCAGGTCTACGGTGGCTGAAAGTATCCCTGAAGAGAGGGCCATGGTGGCTCTGAACAAGAAAAAGCAAGGAGCAGGGAGAGGGAGTTAAGGGCCACAGAGGGCCCACTTAGGGCACTGGGATGGGGCCAAGGGGGTCGAGTATCTGAAGGGCCACTCACATGTTTATTCCATAAACTCTAATAAGTAATAAGCTTTCATCTGGCAGCACCCAGAGCGTGCTCACTGCACAGAGCTATGGGCTGTGGAGACTCAGCCGCCCCAGATCAGAGGTTCTGAAGTCCATGCTCTGCCTCCTGTGGTGGTATCATGGTGGGGTAACAGGGAGGAGGTAATGACCCTGCCTGGGACAGTCAGGAAAGGGCTTGCAGAAGAGAGGGGAGTAGAGGCACACAGCAGACAAGGTGGGGAACGAGTTCCCTTGGAGAAGAACCAGGAACCAGAAGTCCCTGCATAGCATGGTTAACCACCTGACTACCAGCCAACTGCTTGACTCGAACCCACCTAGAGGTGCCTCGGAAGACAAGCCTGGGGCTCTGCTTGAAAGCCCTATGGAGCACAGTTCTACTCTGAAGCACACGAGGGGTCACTGTGAGTCGGAATCAACTCAATGGCAACTAACAACAGAGAAGAGCCAGATGCAGGCTTGGAGATGAGGGCAGTGTACTGAGAGCTTCAGAGAGCTGGGTGGAGTCAGTAGGGTATAAGCAGCCCTGGGAGAGTTTGAACAAGGCAGTTACGTGGACTTGCACCTTAGAAAACCCACTGCCTAAGATAAGAGCTGAGAGGAAGTGGGGGACTAGAGTCATAGAGACCAGACTGTTCCAACAGCCCAGGGCCAGGGGCAGGGGCCAAGGCTGGGATATAAAGCAAGGGAGCACTTCAGAAAGACTTAGGAGGCAGAGGGTGTCCCTGGATTAATGCACTTAGCTACTAAGTGAAAGGTTGGCAGTTCAAGTCTACCCACAGGCTGATGAAGGCAGGCCTGATGATCTGCTTATGAAAAGTCAGCCATTGAAAAGCCTATGGGGCACAAGTCTACTGTGACCTACACGGGGCGCCATGAGTCAGAATTGACTTGATGGCAATTGGTTATTTGTAGGAGGCAGATTTGACCTGGCTTGCTGGTGAAACTGGAAACTGAGGGAATGAGAGAGTCAAGGGCTATTTCCAAGTATCGGCTATGGGATAGGAGAAGGTGTCATCTGCACCTTCTAATGGAGACATTCCCATGGTACACAGAAGAATGGGCTCTGCTCCCAGAAGGCCAGCCTTCAGTTGGAATCTAAATGATAGGCTTTCATCTCCAGACGAAAGAAGGCTTCATCCAGCCACACAAGGCTTAACAGAGCTTAAGCAGCAAGAGCAAGCAGCCTCACCTGTCCACAGGTTATCCAAGCTTATCATGAAGCCCCCAGTGAGGTAGAAGGAGTTGTAGAGTGCGTTGCCGAAGAAGGAGGACATGTGGAAGGTGGGGAGGAGGGCGGCAGTGCACAGGGCCATGGCCCTGCAGCAGAAGACCACCAGCCACACCAGCAGAAAGTGCAGCACAAAGGGCTCGGGACCCGGCCGCAGGTTGGCCAGCCAGTAGGTGAGCATCCCATAGATGACGATGTAGGTGCAGTGCTCTGGGAGCTCCCCCAGGATCTGCAAAGAACAGCACTAACAAGGATGTGGAACCAGTGCCTTCACTTACCACTATTTTGAAAGCACTTTAGAGTTTCTTTTTGTTATTAGTTGCCATTGAGTTGATTCCTACTACCGGTGACCCCATGTGTGCAGATTAGAACTGTGCTCAAGGGTTTTCAAGGCTGTGACTTTTCAGAAGCAGGTCATCAGGCCTGTCCCCTAAGGAGCCTCTGAGTGGGTTCAAATCACCAAACGTTTGGCTAATAGTTGAGCATTTAACCATTTGCGTCACCCAGGAGACCTAAGTTGAAAGGTAGCAACCCTCAAAGATGCCACCTTTCCCTGCTCACGGTGGTCAGGCTGTCGGAGGAAGGCATGGTGAGTGTCCTTGTTCTCAGGCCAGCTTTCCCTGCACACCTGCATGGGCTCCCTCCAGACAGTTTGAAGCTATCTCCCACAAGGAGGCAGCATAACTCGTAAAAAAAAAAAAAAAAAAAAACTTTGATGGGAGTGGGGAGTGTCTACTCTCCCAAAACCTGGTTTCAAGCCCCTTCCCTGGCTGTGCAGACCTGTAGCTGTGTGACCTTGGGACAGCTGCACAACCTTACTGAGCCTTCACTCCGCTGGAATGAGGACAGTAACATCTACCCAACATGCTTCCCAGGAAGGTGTTTCCCATCTTTTAAAAAATTTAGCTTCTTGCTGACCAGAAATGTGTCATTCCTGATCTACAATCCTGGGTCTGGTTGTAAATGTTTAGAAAACTCAAGTCTGTGAAACTTCTCTAGGAGTGTGGCAGCTGCAAGCACAGATGGTGCATGGCCCTGTGGGGACAGCCTGTTCCCCGCATTCTGCCTGCCGGGGTCAGCTAACTACTTCTCTGTGGTTTCTGCCCAAGGCAGGGCAGCTTTGTCTACCCAAACCTCTCATCCCAGGTGGCCACTGGCTCTCAGCCCTGACCAGTCACCTTGGCAAAGAAATAAGGACCTGCGGTATACAGCCCGTCCTCTAGTTCATGGTAGAGCATCGCCCTTTCTGAGTGACCTAAAGTGGGGGAAAGAAGAGAAAAGAATGAAAAAGTAAAACTAATTTACAATATTGGAGCTCCTCTTCATACAACTATTAGTTCTATTACTAATAGTTCTATTGTTTGCATTTGTTGAATTTTTAGAAAATGGGTCCAGTGAAGCCATTCTAATTTAGACGTTTGTTCAGACAAGTCCGGTCAGGGAAAGCCTTTTAGTTTTGCTGTGGCTTGTATGGTGCTGTCAAGTGTAAATGCTGGTAGGATCAGGATGGCTAAGACTCGCTGGTAATGTGCTTTCATTTCCAAACTAATATTAATGTGCAAACTTTAAATTATCATCTTTTCTTTCTCAATCATGATGAAACTGTTCAGGAAACCCTTGCTCCCGGAGCTCGGAGGAATGTGTGGGCTTTGGAACAGCTTGGGGGGTGGTGATGACCTGTCTCAGGTGGCACTCACATTTGGCGATGACATCCAAGATCACATTGAAAGGGATGAGAGCACCAATCATGAACAAGAGGGCAGCCGTGTCCATGAAGGAGAGCTTGATGTCCCCATGGCCGTAATAGAGGAACCCGATGATCAAGGACATCAGACAGGCCTCCATCCCATGGATGAGAAGGGTTGGCAGGTCTCGGAAATCATTAGAAATATGACGACTTGAAAAAGAAAAGAAAGAGGTGCTAAGGGAACAATATATACCAACCCTTGTGGCCTTGGGAGAGTCATTTACTCTGTAAGCCTCAATTTTCTCATCTGTAAAATGGGAATGATATTATTCACCTCAGAGCTGCTGTGAGGATTAAACGAAATCGTTAATAAAAGCCTCTGCCCCAGAGAAAGTACTCTGTAAGTATTCTTACCACTTTTATAATCAATTTATCAGTCTCGCAATTCTACTTAAAGATACTACCCCAAGGACATAATCAATCAGCTGCACAAAAAGGTATGGACAAGGATGTTTGCTGTAGTGTTGCTTGTAATAGCAAAAGCCTGGAAATACGCTGAATGCCCATCAGTTTGGACTTAATGGCCACGATACCCAAAAGGTAGAAGCAACCCAACGGCCCATCGACAGATGAATGGATAAACAAAATGTGGTGCATACCTAATGCATGCTACAACATTAATCAACCTTGAAAACCTTATACTGAGTGAAATAAGTCAGAAACAAAAGGGCAGATATTATATGATTCAACTTATAGAAATATCTAGAATAGGCTAGTTTACAGAGACGAAAGTTGATCAGTGGTTATCAGAGGCTGAGGGGAGGGGAAATGGGGAGTTATTGCTTAATAACGCAAGTTTCTGCTTGGGGTGATGGAAAACATTAGGGAATGGATGTGGGTGACAGTGGCACAACGTGGAGAATGTAATAAATGCCACTGAATTTTATACTTAAAAACAGTTAAAAAGGTAAATGTTTTGTTACATATAATTTGCTGCAACTAATTAACAACAACAACAATAAAAAGACTTGACAAGCAAATGAATTATGACTAGAGTCACACTGTGGGATGCCAGACGTTAAGAAGGATGAGGGAGACCTAGCCAGAGGAGAGGAATGGGTGCCATTCTAAGTGAAAAAAACATCCCAGAACACCACACAGAGCATGATACCACTTATGTACTGAAAGGTTTATGTGCATAAAGATATCAAGAAAGGCAAACACCAAATAGTGGACTCTAGTTTCCTCTGGAGCCTGATGTGACAGGGGACTTCCTCTTTCCACTTGAGGTTGTCCTCAATATTTTCACAATGATCCTGCGATATTTCTCTGACCATCCAGCCAGTGAAGATATTTTTATTTTGTTTGAAGAATAAAAGTAAGAGGACTGGGAGCATTTCTGTATTACTCTCAGGGCTGAAGCTGGTCCCTGTGATGTTTTTTCAAACAATTCTATGTCTTACTTCCTCCTTCAAATTCAGTTTAGACACCACGGACCTACTTTGGTATAACAAAGACTTTCTGGGGCAAAATGAACAATGGACAATTACCGGATCAGGGTAGTAAACTGCTGCACCGCCCCAGGAAAGTGGGAGTCCTTGGGCATCTGGAGGCTGTCGGGGTCCCTCGGGTGGGCCTGGCTGTGGGAGACAGTGTATGGGATTGGTCACTGGCAGCCCCTTCAGAAGGGTGCTTGCGCCCTAAACGCCAAGCCACCTTACCTCTCTGCACAGGGGCCCACGCCGAGCTCCTGTGGCCCTGGTCTCCACACAAAGTCATCAAAGTCACGCACTTTTTCTAGAAACGAGGCTGCCAGTGACTGAGCCCTCTCCCTGGTGGCCACTTCCTGCTCTCTGCTGCGCCTGTCAATGCTGGTCAAGTCCACTGTGGGCAGAAGATGCCAGCCGTGAGTGATTCATCCCCTGCATCTGCTCCCTTGGGGCTCAGAACATGCTCCCCATCATCCCAGAGGGAACAGGAAGTGAGGTCAGAGCAGATGCAGCACCACCTTACAGAGGCACCAGGCTTCTGGGCCCTCAATGCTGCCTTCACCCTGCCAGATCTGACCACATCTATAAACTGCCAGGTACAGGGCTGTGGACCAGAGGTGGGGCCAGCAAGGCCCTGGTGGCTGTGGCCTGCCCCCAAGGATCACCACCAGGCTCAGTTTGGGGCACTCCTAGGACAGGACAGAACCAAACAGACCTTCAGAACCAGAGGCCATGCCACAGTCACGCCTGGGCTCCAACTCCAGCTGTCCAAGAAAATGAGGCCTGGCCTAGCAAGTCTGCCTGGCCCCAGGGAGAAGGTGGGCTGCTCAGGGACTCCTGGACAATTCTGTTTTCACTGTAAATTACCAATCTGGCTGATGGTGATTTGGCTTCCCAACCAGTCTACCCAAAGGAGAGCAGATACTGGCCAAGGGGTACCAGGCCCCTCCTTTTATAAGCAGAGTTCTCCCTGCCCCTTAGTCAGCCACTCTGCCTGGGGAAGAGTCAGCAGACCAGGTGGAGAACCAGCGCTGATGGCACCCACTCCCTGAGATCCCAGGAGAGACTACCCTTGTTCACCCCTGTGAACATCGGCAGCTCCAACCCCAACCCTCTCTCCCCCAGGGCCTCCAAAGCCCATACTGATGGAAAAGGCAAACATATCCAGTCAAGCTGGGGTCTTCCTAAGCCCCTGTCACACCAACCCACAGAGGCTTCTCACTCTCGATTCCTTCTACAGACCCTTGGCTCAGCTGGGGGTTATCCCTTCACCTTTCTTCCTATGCCTTCTTCCCATTTCTCAACACATCTCAAGGCAGATCATGTCTAGGAGGGGCCTTGTGAACTGTGGCATGTCTCTGCCTCTACCCCACCCCCCACCCCCAGCATGCGGGGCTGCAGATGAGAATGTCAGTCAGCTATGGGCATTTAGGAATCCCTGGGTGGACCAATGGTTACTGTATTGTGTCGCTAATGGAAAGGTTGGAGGTTTGAGTCTACCAAGAGATGGCTCAGAAAGAAGCCCTATGATCTACTTCAGAAAAATTAGCTGTTGAAAACCCTATGGAGCACAGCTTTGCTCTGATGCACCAGGATCGCCAGGAGTCAGAGCTGCCTTGACAAATTGTACTTGGTATTTGACTTCTCTTAACCCCTCTCTGAGGAGCTCTGGTAGCTTAGTGCCTAAGGCACTTGACTGCTAACCAGAAGGCTGGCAGTTCAAACCCACCAGCCACTCCTCAGAAGGAAGATGGGGCAATCTACTTCCATAGTGATACTGCCTCGGAAACCCAAGGAGGGGTCGCTATGAGTCGGGTCTGACTCCACAGCACATAACAACAACAACAACAACAACCCCTCTCTGGGGTTACTTTAGATCTCGCCCTGCTGGCCAGGTTGGCGTATGCACTCTGCCCCCTTATCTCTGGATATGACAACTGGATTAAGGACAACATACTGGCAGGAAGCCAGGCCACCTGACCCCAGGAAGAGAGGATGATGTCTCTGTGAGTTCCCACAGATTGTAGGTACACAGAGTGAGGGCTGGTGCCTGGATAGACTTGCCCTGGACATCTGGGGGCTGGATGGAGGGTGGCTTAGGATGCTGGTGAGGAAGGCATGGGAGCATGGGAGCAGGGCCAGGGGTCAGAGATGGGACAGATATCCCTGGTGGGGTCCCAGTTCTGTATCCCACAGTTGTGCCAAGGGCAGGAAGATTGTTTAGCACTTTGGGCTCTGGTCTTCTCTGTAAAGATGGAGATGACCCTGAGCTGGCAGGGCTGGGAGGGTCAAATGGGAGACCCTCTGGAGTTTGGCACCTCTAGTCCTCAAGTAAATGGTCTTATGCTTACTGCTGAGGTCCTTACTACACTTTGCCATCCTGCACAAAGAGTTGGACTCCTTGACCACCTTGCCCTGTGTGTCAAGGCCTCTTCCTGTTTCACAACACGTCTCAAGGCAGATCACGTCTAGGAGGGGTCTTGTGAACTGTGGCATATCTCTGCCCCTGCCCCTACCCCCAACCCCTGACACACACATAGCATGTGGGGCTGCAGATCAGAATGTCATAATCAGCTATGGGTATTTAAGGGTCCCTGGGAGGGCAAATGGTCAGGTGGTCTGTGGGCCCTGGTACAACTGTGCCACCAGTTGAGTAGCCATGTTAACTCTCAGCACTCAGGGTCCACAGTGGGTACCTGGGAAGGCAACTGTCCCTCCAGGAATGAGGGGAGAGGCTCATGCTCTTGTAAGAGCCATATGCTGAGGACTCATGACTCCAATAGAGCTGAGCTGAGCAATTTTCATATCTAGAGATTCCCTGGCCAAGGCCACCAACAGGCCCTGAGCTGACCTGTACCTGAACCTCACCCCTAGCCCCGTCAAGGTCCTTGCCTCTGAGGGGGGCACTAGAGCCTAGTTTTAAGATTTTATGGTGGCTCCCTGACCTCAACTTCCCTAAATTTCCCTACAGAGCCTGAACAAGGTCACATTCTAGAAACTGAGCCACATTTTTTTGAATTCTATTCCCTCCAGTCCCCAGGATCCCCATAACTCTCTTCCCTCATGTGGGCAGAAATGTGGCTCTTTGTCTGCAGCAGCTTTTTGCAAGTTCTTACTCCTAGCATTTGGCAAACAGATCCATGGTCTACACCCCACCCTGCCCACCACCTCCATCCTGGTTTCCAGTCTTCTGAAGCCTCTGGATTTTCTCTTCTGGATCTTTTCACTAAGTTCTGGCAGTGATTGGGCCCATGGGGAGCCCCTGTGTACTGGTACCTCTTGCCTTGTGGCTCACCGTAGAAGTCAGCAGGGTTGCTGTAGCGAGGACAGGGGTGGCCATTCTCTGTGAAATACTGGACCATGTGCTGGGCTGCCCCCAAGTAGATGGTAGTGCCAGATGTCATCAGGAGGACTAGATCAAACAGCCGGAAGATGTCTGATCGGGGCTGATGGAGGGAGATGAGTACCAGCCTATTGCCTTTGGCCAGCCTGGATAAGGTCTTCACCAGGTTGTGGGCTGTGAAGCTGTCGAGCCCAGAGGTGGGCTCATCCAGAATGAGGATACCTTCCCGACAGAGAGAGGAGCCTGGTGGGTCACCAGCATGCTGGCCAGGCCAGGCCAAGGTGGACAACAAAGGCCCTTTATCCCCTCATTGGCTCCATGGCTCTCACCTGGGTTCCACAGGAGCTGCACCCCAATGCTGACTCTCCTCCGCTCTCCCCCTGACACTCCCCGCACATACTCATTGCCCACACGTGTGTTGGCACACTGCCGCAGCCGAAGCTCCGCCACCACATCATCCACCTGGGGGCAGGAGAGAGCCGAGGGCTTTAGAAGTCACCTCCAGGGCTGCAAAGTCTCTAGGTGACACAACCATTTGCACCCAACTACTAACCAAGAGGGTTGGTGGTTTGGACCCTCCGTGCAGTGGCTTTGAAGAAAGTCTTGGCCATCTGCTTCCCATTATGATTATGGTAAAAAAAAAAAATAAAACAAAAAACACCCTATGGGCCAGTTCTACTCTGTCAGAATTGACTCAATAGGTTTTTGTTTGTTTGTTTGTTAGTTTATAGATACCGCCTCCTCGGAAACCCAATTTGGTTTGTTTTTGTTTTGGAAATATTTTGACTCAAAATAAAATACCTGCTCCTCCCAGAATCTAGAGGGCAGGGCCATTGCCTTGATGGTCCCAAAGAACCAAGGATTATTTTCAAGCCTTGAGAGCTAACGTAAATTGTTCTGTGGGGTTTGGGAATTGCTTGGTGGCCATTATTCCTTCTTTCCCTCCAATTTCTCCCATTTGCAATGGAAATGTCTACATTGTGCCTGTTCCATCACTGTATTTTGGAAGCAGATAACCTGTATTCTAGATTTCACAACTGCTCAGATGAAGATGAATTTTGCCCCAGGATGAAATATGCCTAATACCTCATCTATATTTGATTTATGTGATTCACAAGATGAGATTTTGGATTTTTGGGATGATGTGATGGGATGAAAGTGTTTTGCATGGGGCAAGGACATGAATTTTGGGAGGCCAAAGGGTGGAATGTTATGGATTGAATTATGCCCCTCAAAATCTGTCTTTTAAACCCCAACCTCTAAATCTGTGGTTGTAATCCCATTTGAGAATGGGTTATCTTTGTTTGGCTAATGAGATAGAATTAGTTATGGTGTGTTTTAAGTCAATCTATTTTGAGATAAAGAAGAGATTAAACAAGCAATCTAAAGAAGCAGAGATGGGGAAGAGACTTGCCAAGGCACATGAAGATTGCCCAGGGCTCAAAAGAGACAAGGACCTTGCCCCAGAGCCGACCGAGAGAAAAGCTTCCCTAGAGTCAGTGCCCAGATTTTGGACTTCTAGCCTCTTAAACAGGAGCTCTGGTAGTGTAGTGCCTAAGGCACTTGACTGCTAACAAGAAGGCTGGTGGTTCAAACCCACCAGCCACTCCTCGGAAGGAAGATGGGGCAATCTACTTCCATAGTGATACTGTTTCGGAAACCCAAGGAAGGGTTGCTATGAGTCAGGTCCAACTCGATGGCACATAACAACAACAACAGCCTCTTAAAGTATGAGAAAATAAATTTCTGTTTGTTACGGGGAAGGAAAAAAAAAAAAGGCCTGCTTCGTCAGTTGTATTTTAAAGTGAATGAGGACAGCTCCTGCTGTGATGTTCACTCCCCTGATTCTTTCCACAGATGCTGAGTGGCTTCTGTATGCTAGGCACAATGGCATGTGTTTGGGACATGGCCATGTACTGGGGGCAAGACAGTTGGGGTCCCTGCCCTTACGGAAGGTCAGAAAACAAGAAAACAGGCAAATACCCAAATCATAAATTCTGACAAGTGAGTGAAGGAGACCCAGTTGGGCTGAGATGGGTCAGAGGCTGCAGGGCCCCAGAAGAGCATGGACGTGCAGGGGTGAGACTCGGGTATTTTCAGGCAGAGGGTGGTGAGCTAGTTATCCAGACTCCACCTGTGGCTAGGTCCTAGCAAGGCAGGAAGGGATGCAGAGGGGAAGGAGATCATGGCTTCTCAGACCTAAGGGTCACTGCTGGGGTCAGGGAGTTACCCTTTTGTTGCGTTGGGCCTGGGAGAAGGTTTTGGGCAGGCGCAGCTGGGCGATGAAGGCCAGGGTCTCACGGACAGTCAAGTTGGGCAGCAGCTGGTCATGCTGGCGCACATGGGCCACACACTTCCTCACCAGGTGCGGTGTGCTAGGCTGACCATTGATCCAAATCTGGCCTGACTTGATCTTGCCACCATGGCCACGGCCAGTGATCACATCCAGCAAGGAGGCCCTCCCATAGCCTGCAAAGCCACCAGAGACATTTCTGAGAGCACAGCTTTTGTGGGGCCAGCTTAGGAGCCACTGTCTCCTATAAGTCTTCAGCCATCATGGCCACCTGTGTTCTTACAGAAGGGAGCAGCTCTGGTGACAGGGCTCCAGGCCTGGATGGCACAGCCCTAGCACCTCCACTGGAACCCTAGGCTTTTACCTATAGCCAACATGAGCACCGATGGAAACAGGGGAGGGGAGTGTATTTTGGTGCTGGGGGCTCCAGCCAGAGCTCTGGTGACTGCATGCGATGGAGTAGGCTGGAGCCCTGACAGTCACAGGCCGGCCTGAGCCTGGCGCCTTCTCCTGCCAGCCTATAACCAATGCCCTTTCTTTCCCAGCAAGGCTGCTGTTAATTGCACTATGAAGCATAACTATTTCTGGCTGGCAAATACGCCAGTAATGTCTCATCCCTCATCACTCAACATCATTTGGCTCAGAAGCTGGCTTTGTGGGAAGGAATAATTTGGAGCATTAATAGGATGCCTTGTACTGCCTCAGGCACTTGACTGCTAACCAGAAAGCTACCAGTTCAAACCCACTAGCCACTCCCTGGAAGAAAGACTGGGCCATCTACTTCTGTAGAGATACTGCCTTGGAAACCCAAGGAAGGGTCGCAATGAGTCAGAATTGACTCCACAGCAATGAGTTTGGTTTGTTTTTTTATCTTGAGAAATAAGTAGGGAGGGGAAAAAAAAGGAACAATAGCTGTAGCAATAATTTTTAAACTACAGCACAGTGTACACATGTGCTCTGGATTTCCCTACACCCTTCTTACTCTCATTTTTCTCAGTGGTGCTTTTTACTCTCTCCCAAAAATGGTTACCACCATTCACTTCTGAATGACATACTGGTTGCTATCAGTTTGGGAAAGAGAGCATCAGATTGGATGTCTTTTCCCAAAGCATTTATTCTATGAGGCCTGTTGCCAGGCCTTTCATAGCTATTTAAGCTTAATACAAATTGGGGTCAGGCTCTGAGAATACCTGCCCGCAAACAGGCTGGGAATGAGCTCCATACAGTTCCCTTCCGGTGGGATTTTGATTTCTTTACTGTGTATTCTTTTTGGAGGGGCTAATTTTCCAAGTTGTTTTTGAACAAGTAAAGTACCAACACACAACATACACCACACAATGGCTCCTTCTAGCCACATGCTACTTGCAGGCAGATCCCATAGAAGCAACCTAGTGCAAAAACAAAAAAAGTCCCAAGAAGCTAGAAACCTCCCCACATGATCCTTCTCTGACCAACCAGAGGCTCTCAGGGTGGGGCTGCATGCTGGCTCCTGGGGGCACTTCAGTGAAGTTCCCTGAGAACTCTGATGGAGCTTAAGGAAGAGCAAACTGGAGAGGGAGCTTTGACCTTGATCCCTGCTCAGCCTCAGACATTACGTCCAGGCTCTGAGAGTACAGGGGAGTTTGCAAACATGTCAGGATTCCCAGGCAGAGAGCAGGAGGTCATATTTTCTAAACAAAACTCTGTGAGAGGAGTGGGCGGCCTTTCCAGAGGATGCCCCATGCATTTGGGTCCATCTTGTTTGAGCTGGGGTGACATACCCACCCACAGTCAAGATTCATAGGAAAACATCTATGGATCCCGATTCTGTTGAATAAGCTAAAATGCCTGGGACTATTTTAAATTTATTTTTAAAAATATATGACCAGCCTTCTAGTGTCTGCATATGTGTCTGAGTGTGTGTGTGTGTGTGGGGAGGGGCGAGCAAAAGTCACAGGAAGCATAACTGATAAACCTTTATAAGAAATAATTTTAATAATCTCAGCCAAGTAAAATTGAAGCTTTAAAAACACTAAACATAAAAAAGGTAAACACAAAAAGAATAAAGTAGAGGGGAAAACTTCCAAATTGGTAGAGGGAAGAAAGGTGAAGTAAAAGGAGGCTGTGTTCTATTCTCCAAGTCCCCTTTCCACTCTGACATTTCATAATTAAAAGGCTTGAGGACTACTTAGTATAATTCTTGCTTTGAATCTCACTTTCCTCAACCCTAAATCAGTGATACTAACAGCTACAGTGTTGTAGGTAATAAGTATTAACCAGGAGGATGCTATGGCTCTGTGAAAGTGCCTGGTAAAGTCCCTACATGCTCTATTCATGAAGAAAAGAAAGATTTCATAAGAAAAGGCACCAGGAGTTAGAAAAATAAAATAGGCCTATGGCAGCTCTGGTGGTGTAGTGCCTAAGGCATTTGACTGCTAACCAAAAGGCTGGTGGTTCAAACCCACCAGCCACTCCTCAGAAGGAAGGTTGGGCAATCTACTTCTGAAGTGATACCACCTTGGAAACCCAAGGAGGGGTCGCTATGAGTTGGATCCAACTCGATGGCAATGAATTTTTTTTTAATGAAGAATTTTTGCTTTTTGTTTTTAAGTCAGGATTGCAGAGGCAGGGCTGGAAGTGGGAGAGGCTTCATGGCATGTCTGTAAAGCATGTCACAGTTACAAAGGGCATTTACCCACATCATTCCATTTGATCTTTGTTTAGACAATAAACAGAACTTCTCTATCAGAAGACTAAAATTGAGAACAGGTTTTTAAGAAATTGAGTAATCTCTACCTCTGGAAATGATTAACTAAAAGATAAAATGTTCTTTCTCTAAGACAAGGTAAGGGTGTCACAGAAAGGAACATCTTAATCTGGGAATTAAGAGACCAAAGTTCTGCATTAAATGTGTGTCTGTAGGTGAATGACTTAACTTCTCTAAGCTTTAGCATCCTCATATCTCAAAGGAAGGTGTATGTGTATGTGTATGTGTGTGTGTGTGTGTTTGTGGTGTGTATGTGTTGATGTTTGTATGTCTGTGTGTATATGTGTGTATGTCTGGTTGTATGGGGACACTCTAGAAATGTTGAAAACTAGATACATTGAAAACCATCTTCTAAAAAAAAAAAAAAAGAAAATCATCTTCTAAAAATGCTTGATAAAATATTACAAACATCTTTTCAAATACACAGCTGAGTTGTAAGACAAAGAAACTTCCAAGGGCTAAAAATAAAGAGAAAAAACCCTGAAAAAATAAAAAATGCAAATAGATAACCGCATTGTGGCTACCTTGTCTAACTGTTTTAACCAGAAGACCCAGTTTTAAATGGCTGCATATGAACAAGGAACTATGTCTTGGATCCAAGATGAAGAGCTGAAACTGAAGCCACCAATAAAGCAGGATCATTGACATGAACTTTCCTTGAAAGGATAAACTAGGTAAAAGTTCAGCCCACAATCAAAGGAACAACAAGAAAACTTGTCAGTCTTATGCTGAGCTGTGGGTGGGAAAACAAATTCTCCCTTAAGAATGCATAACTATGGGCCCATTTGCACATGGATCTGGAGTATGAACTTACATTATCTGTGTGGCCCAGGACATCTCAAACTACAAATTAAAAATAGAAGGGGTCTCCAGTTAGTAGTGCACTAGGGAGCCTGGCAGAGGCAAACACAAATCTTCAGTTGGAAGCTGTATCTTACCAAGACTATGCAGAATTCCCATGGAAGAAGCACAGCTGAATATAAGTGCACATTCCAAGATTACAAAATATATAAGATGCCAAGCCATCATAAGCAAGTGTCAGCAAAAACAACATACAGTAGAATCAGACCCCCAGAATCTCTAAGTAGTATGATTATCATACAAAATATATAAAATCTTTACATTAAAGATATTTAAAGAAATAAAATAGCATGAGCAAGGAGCAACATATAACAAACAAAAAAGACTAGGTAGATTTAAAAAGGAATCAAGTAGAATTTCTACAAATTAAATTGTATAAATTAAAAAGCAAAATAAACCAGTTAAACAGTAGATTAGATACAGCTGAAGAAAGAATGATCTGGACAATAGATCCCAAGAAGTTACTAATAATCAGCATACAGACAATGAGATTGAAAATGTGGAAGAGAAATAAATAAATGGAATCTCAATAAATCTCAAACAAGGCAAATAAAAATGAATTCACAACTAAACACATAAAAGCGAAACTGTCAAAAACAAAGACAAAAAGAGGATCTTAAAATCAGCCAGAGAGAAAACAAAACAAAACAGATCTCTACAAAGGAAAAATTAGGCTGGTAATACACTTCTCATAAGCATCAAAGGAGTCCAAGAGACATTGGAATACCACCTTCAAAGTGCTGAGTGAAAAATATTGTCAGCCTAGAATTGTATACCCAGCTGTACTGTCTACAAATCCTAGTAAAATAAAGACATTTTCAGCTAAGTAAAAACAGAGTTTACCACCAACAGACCCTTACAATTCTGAAGGTTGTAATTCAACAAGAGAGAAATTAAATCTAGAGAGATAGGTCGTATAATAGAAGGAATGATGAGCAAAAATTGGTAAACATAAAAGGAAACTTTAACAATGGTGATTTAAAATAATTGCAATAATAGTTGATTGGTGGGGCTAAAAAAAAAAGCAAAGAGAATATAAAAATTGCAAGCAATTGAATGTAAGAAGGAAGAATATGTTTTGTGGGAAAGCATCTTTATTATTATTATTATTATTGTTCTGGTAGATTATAGAGATATCAGTTGGCTTTAAATAACAATATTCATGTTGAAAAAGGTAAACACAAAAAGAATAAAATAGAGGGGAAAACTTCCAAATTGGTAGAGAGAAGTAAGGTGAAATAAAAGGAAGCTGTGTTCTGTTCTCCAAGTCCCCTTTCCACTCTGACATTTCATAATTTTAAATTTGGCCTGTGGAAGTAACCATTTGAGGCACTTTAAAAATCTGGATCTTTGTAGATGGTTGAAGGTTGCTGTAAAACTTGAGCGGCTGAGAAGTGAGAGTTGCAGTGAGGACTGTGCCTAACAATTGTTTAACCATAATCAGGAATCTGTGGAAGGAACAATCTGAATGAATGCCCTTTGTGACTGAAGAAGTCCCCTGAAAAGAACATTCAGTTGGAAACTGCCTGATCTCGGGAAACCTTTTTGCCTCATCTCAACACAGAAGTTACCCAAAGACCTGATGCTTCAGTTGGACAAGAGGCACACTCTTGGCCTTCTAGCATAATAACAGCAGCTGGTAAATTTAAGAGCTAATAAATGGAAGAGCTGCAATTTGACCCCAGGTCTGTCTGACCCAGAATGTGTGCTCTCAACCACTCTTCTTTATTATTCCATGAGTCAGCAAAGGGTTCGGTAAGAAACATCCATTTGCCCAAGGGTCCATTCTGCATCCCAGGAGAGAGGGAACCATTAGCCCACTATTTGCCTATAGTGTACCTGAGCTCCCTATGATAGCCAGCATCTGCCCACTTTTCACTTTGAAGCTCAGGTTCTGGATGCCCAGCTCACAAGAGTCCTTGCTGTTGTGTGACATCCAAGGCATCTTTAACTGAGCCAGATGCTCAAACCAAGGCACCTGGGAAGCCATGTTCACCTGTGGGGAGACATCAGAAGGTTCCTCAAACAGAAGAATGGATCAGAGGCCTTCAGCGACTTAAGTCCAGCTCCCCTGTGCCCAATGTGGTCTCTCTCCACAGGGGACATCTCCCTTTCAATACATAATAGGCACCCACTCCCACATCCTATCATATATGAAGGCTGAACCCAGCATGCAGAGAATCTGAAGCTGTCAGTTCCAAGTCTGAAGACTAGGGGGAATGGAAAGCACGTGCAACAGCAGAACAAAAACGAAAATACAATCCAAAGCAAAACAGCATCATCATTTAATAATATTTGTAATTCACTAATAATTTATCGAGAGTTTCTTATGTACAAGGCATGGTGTTAACTGCTTCATATCCACTATCTCATTCAATCCTATTGCAAATCTGTAACACAGGTACTACTATAATTCCTGTTTTACCGTGAGTAATTAAGTAACTTGCTCAAGGTAACACAGCTATTAAATGGCAGAGCAGAGAAAGGCTATGGTGTGGCTCATCAGCTTCTCCTAAATCACACCCACAGGAAGGAAGACAAACTCAGGCCTTTGAGGTTCATCATCCTAGGCCCAACCTGTTCTGTCTGGGCAACAGAGGTTTTGTTGGGGAGATGTGGGGATAAAACGTCCTTGTATCCTACCAGGAGATTTCTGAGAGCACCAGTGGTCCTTGTGCTCTGGATGTTTTGTTAGCTCCAGGATAGTACATTGTACAATTTAAAAGATGATAGAAAAACTGGTGAAATCTAAATAAAGTCTACAGTTTAGTTAATACCATTAACTAAGTTAGTATCTTTGTAAATTTCTCAGTTTTGATCATTGTACCATGTAAGATGCAAGCGTTACAGGAAGTGGAGGAAAGGGTATATGAGAATTCTGTGTCCAACCTTTGCATTTTTTTCCAAAAGTCTCAAATTATTTCAAAATATAGAGTTAAAAAAAATTACAGTTTCTTCCCCCCATCGGTTCACACGTTTTGCTTGACATTTCAACAAGGGTCCTATTTTCTTTTTATGCCTCTCAACCTCCAGTTACAATATGTGTAGCTGATGTGCATGTGAGGGATCAACTTGGGCTGGCCTCTGTCCCCTCCTTGTCCTTGGGGGCCACAAGCCTTTGGGAGGTGGCACCCTCTTCTTCCACTTGGGGAGCTGTTTGGTTTTCCCCACCCACTCTTCCTCTACCTGGTAGCTCAGATCTCGAACTTCCAGGGTATTGGACTGGCCACTGTAGGTGAAGTACAGGCTGTTGTCACTTTCAGAGGAGAACAAACTGTCCTGGAGGTCCTGTTGGGAGACATGACAGGTGAGAGGCTCCTCTGGAAGCCACTGAGGAAGTGGGAGAAGACTGGAGGAGACAGGGGAGAACAGCAACATGAGTGAGGCCCCTACTTGGCAACAGTTTTGTGCAGGTGGAGCGCAAGGGCTTTGAGAAAATAGTATTGTAGATGAGGACACATCTCTCCTTCCCACCAGTGAGGGCTCTGGGGTTTTCCCCAGCACAGTTCCTGGACCCAGAGAAGCTCAGCCTCAGTCTGGCTGACTCTGAAGGAGCCCATAGGAAAGAGCCCCAGGCCCTGGCCTAGAGGGAGCTCTGAGAACCTCTGCACTGGAATGCCTGAGCTGGATGCTGGGCAACTCTCCTACTTCAGTCATCTCTTCCCTGGCTCCAGGCTAATGTCTCCTAATGACAAGCTTTACACACCCAGTGTGTGAGAGGAAAGACCTACTGACAAGTAAATGCTGAATACGTGTGAAGATCCCATCCTGAGAAAAGTCAAGTCTTACTTTGATAAGAAGTTTTGCACAAGAAAGCCACTGAAAAAGTTGTTGGGGATTTCAGAGGAAGTCTCCTCTCATCATCCTCATCATCATGGTTATGACCATGTTTTTGTTGTAGTTATTGTTGGTGGTACACCTGAATGTACAGTAAAACCTGTGAATGCCAACCTGTGTAAGACAGAAACCTGTCAGAGAAGGAAAACTCAAATATTTTCCACTAAAAGGAGAGATTAAAAAAAAAAAGTGGTAAGACAACATCCTGTCAATAGAGGAAAACTTGTGAGACCCAGAAAAGACAGTCCTGTCAAGGTCTGGCTCTCACAGTTTTGCACACTGCATATCAAAGAAATCAATGCTCGATGGCATCAAGTGATATATTTGAATGGTATTAAGCATCTGTAGATGTGAATTTCATATTTAGCTGAAAAGTTCTTCTATTTTCAAGTCCCCTCCTTTAAATCCAGGAGGCCTGGACAAAGAATCCCATCACTAACGTTTCAGTGTCTAACACGTTTCTTTTTTTCTTCTGCTTCTGTGGCGCAAGGAGAAGTGTGTGTTTATCAACAAGTTCTCACTGACTCTGGCTCCCTCTCAGCAGATCTGTGTCTCACACTGATGCTTCCTGCCATCAGTCAATCAAGCACCCAACAAACACTTATTGGGAGCCCACATCACACTCCAGGCTTAGAGTTTGGGATACAGAGGTTTAAAAAAAAAAAATCACCGAGGAGCTTAGATTTCAGTGGGCAAGATGGATGATTAGGATGGAGGGTAAGGCAGGGCAGAATAGAGGCAGGCCCACCTCAAGCGTCTGATCAGAGTGTTCACTGTGTTCACACACATATGGTTTATATGAAATGATCAGTTTTGGGAAAAAAACACACAAAAAAACCCAGTTGCCATTGAGTTGTGACTCGTGGTGGCTCTGTCTGTATCACAGTAGAACTGTGCCACATAGGGTTTTCTTTTCTTTTTAAATTACTTTGTATCTTTATTTGGTCTCTTTGTCAAAATTGGTTTTGTATTCAATAATTCATACACATTTTGTTTTGTGACACTGACTGCAATGTAACAGCATTCTTCCCACTCCTTCCCTATGTTTACTGTTTCCATTCTTCTTTCTATTTTTATCCCTTCCTGCTCTCTGAGCTTTATCCCTGGGCAAAGCTGCTCTGTTGATCTCTTGTGGTTGATTGTTCCAAGGAGTATATGCCTGGGCCTGGAGACTGTTTAGCTGAAAGTTGAGCCACAGGAGTGAGTTCAGTTCCAGGCTTGAAGGGTGTCTAAGGGCCATAGTCTCGGGGGGCTCTGTAGGGTTTTCAGTGGATGATTGTTCAGAAGTAGATTGCCAGGCCTTTCTTTCAAGGTGTCTATGGGTGGACTCAAGCCTCTAACCATTTGGTTAACAGCTGAACATGTTAACCCTTTGTACCACTCAAGAATTCCTTAGATGACATAACATGGCTAAAACATCCCATGGTCTCTTTGTCAAATCAGTCTTGCAATGGTGATTGTGATGTTGTTGTTATGTGCCGTTGAGTCGAACCCAACTCATAGCGACCCCTCCTTGGGTTTCCGAGGCAGTATCACTACGGAAGTAGATTGCCCAACCTTCCTTCCAAGGAGTGGCTGGTGGGTTTGAACCACCAGCCTTCTGGTTAGCAGTCAAGTGCCTTAGGCACTACGCTATCGGGATAGGTCCTTGGAAATGAGTATGCTCCAGGCCTATGGAAGTGGAGAGAAAGAAGTATAGTACCTTATCAGGTGACAGTCTGCTGCAGTCCCAGGGTTCATAGTATCCAGACCTCTAGGAGAGTACAAAAAGCAGCAGATCATTACAACTTACATTGTTTAATATTTGAACTTTTACCAGAAATACCCAAAATTATACAGAAAAACCATGGAAAGATAAATATTAAATTCAGGAGAGGGGTTGTATCTGAGGATAAGGGGTGGTCTTCAAAGGTATTGGTGATAATTTAGTTGCGTGGTGGGTACATGGGAGTTTGCTATTCTTTAAAACACTTTTGTCTGAAGTATTTCAAAATGTATTTTCAAATTGAGAGTGTGAGCCCCCAAAGAGAGCATGACCCCAGGTTTCTAGCTCCTTTTTGGCCCCAGCTGCCAATGTCTGCAAAGCAGGGGTGAGAGATGAGGGTCAGGGGTGAGGGTGGAGGAGGTTGCAGGGTCTGTGCCCTCAGAGATGGAGAATGATGCTTCTGTGAAGACCAAGAGAAGCTCAGGCTGCTGCTGGGCGGGGCTGGATGGCTCTGCTTTAGTGGCCCCTGCCCTTGCTCACCTCCACCATCACCACACATACTGCTTAGTTTTTCCACTTTATGTTGTCAAACTATCAGAATTCTGTTTCCAGAGATTCACTTTGGCTAACAAGCATCCTGGTTTTTCTTGTTTGATTTTAATGCAAATATCCAGAGAAGGGATATGGAGCCATCCGTCACTCAGTGTAGATTATGGGAGTCCTTGGGTGTTGTAGATGATGAAGTACTCAGCTCTAACCAAAAGGCTGGAGTTTTGAGGCCAGCAATCTACTTCTGAAAAAATCAGCCGTTGAAAACCCTGTGGAGCACAGTTCTACAGTTCTCAGATACACACGGACCAAAAAAAACCAAAAAAAACAAAAACCCAAAATCAAACCCTCGAGTTGGATCCAACTCATAGCAACCCCCTCTTGGGTTTCTGAGGCGGTATCACTGCAGAAGGAGCTCTGGTGGCCTAGTGCCTAAGACATTTGACTGACTGCAAACCGAAGGCTGGCATTTCAAACCCACCAGCCACTTCTTGGAAGGAAGGTTGGGGCAATCTTCTTCCATAGCGATAGTGCCTCGGAAACCCAAGGAGGGGTCACTGTGAGTCGGATCCAACCTGTTTGGTTATCACTACGGAAGTAGATTGGCCAATCTTCCTTCCAAGGAGTGGCTGGTGTGTTTGAACCACCAACCTTCTGGTTAGCAGTCAAGTGCCTTAGGCACTATGCCACTAGAGCTCCCAAGATACACACAGAGTTGCCATGAATCAGAATAGACTCAATGGCAACTGTTTGTTGTCATTGATTTTCCCCAAAATTATGAGATTATGAGATACTTTCTAGCCAAAAGGTCCCAGGTTAGATTTAGGGGTGAGGAACTGCCAAGGATGGAAGGTTGGATAGTTTTAGGATCTGGGCAAAGTGTGGAGGGGTCAAGCTGTGCTTTGAGAAGAGGGAGGGGAACTGAGATAAAAGGAAGGCGAGAGGTGCAGGTTCCCTGTTCCCAGGCTGCCCCTCAGTCTCCCTTCCTCCCCTGTGGCCAAGTGACCTGCATGGGTCAGCTCAGGGATTGTGCTTTCTGGGCGATGCACAAGCCATTCAACTTTTGAAGAAGAGAATTCAGGCCTGGGTTGGGGACTACCTCCATTCTGAAATATTTTTCTTGGCTCCCAAGAAGGATTTGTTAGACTCTTCCTGAGGTTTTGACAAATTCTCTGTATTTTTCAAATACTTAAATATCTATTCAGCTGACATCTTAATCAGTATGACTGTCAGAACATCACTTGATTACCTGACAGGTGACACCCAAAAAAGCAAAAGCTGCTTTATTTGTAGGTAACCAGCTCGGCTCCTGCGGGCCTACATTGTAATTTCTCCTTGTATTAACTTCTGATCAAATTTCTGAGTCAGAATGATGGACGAAAGGAAACTCAGGGAGCACAGATTCCTTGTGCTAAGATGAGGAGCTCATGCCTCAGAGAGATATGGAGATGTGCCCGAGGCCTCGAGACTGCTCTTGGTGGAGGACACATAGGGTTGGCTGAGCTGTGGTCCTGGGCCTTTACTAGAACATTCAGGCTAGATCTTACACCAGCATCTTATACCTTGTCCTGAGGCCTGGGCACCTCTCTCAACAATGATTATACAAATAATTTTTTGAGTGCTTATTATGTGCCAGACACTATGTTAATTACTTCATATCCACTATTTCATTCAATCCTCATTACAAAACTAACGTAAGCACTACTATAATCCCTGTTTTACAGATGAGGCTCAGAGTAGTCAAGTATCTTGCTCAAGGTCACATAGCTATTAAGTGGCTGAGAAAAGAAAAGCTCATCAGCCTTCTCTTCTCTCTGAGGAGCTGTAATCCTCCACTGGTCCTGCTACTGCCCATGGATGAGGAGTCCAGGGGCCAAGGACACTTGCCACTCCAGGTGGCTCAGGCCCCAGAATCTGCTATACTAATGGCCTCGAGTCCACTCCCAGTGCCTAGGTGGGCCTCCTCCCAGGCCTATCCTCCTGAAAGCTGACAGTGCCACCCAACGAGGCATCCTAGGCCAGAGGGGAGACTGTTTGTAGAGGGTATGGATGGAATCTGGGAGGGCAGGCTGGGGTGCCCACACAGGAGTAAGGTGAGACAGAGCTAGGGTGGGCAGATAAGGGGACAGGTTGTGAGCTTGAGTTTGTAATCACCTCCCCATGCTACCACACTCTAGCGTGCCACTCCAAGAAAACTAAAACTAAACCCATTACCATCAAGTTGATTCCAACTTACAGTGACCCTACAGAATAGAGTAGAAATGCCCCATAGGGTTTCTAAGACTATAACCTTTATGAAAACAGACTGACATGTATTTCTCCTGCATAGCCACTGGGTGGGTTCAAAGTGCCAACCTTTCACTTAGCAGCCAAACATTTACCCACTGTTACACCACTACAAGTGGTCTCTCAAAAACTCCAAACTCACTGCCGTCAAGTTGGGTTTGACTCAGTGACCACTCCTTGGGTTTCTGAGGTAAAACCCAAGTAGGAAAGTAGATTGCCCAACCCTCCTTCCCAGGAGTGGCTGGTGGGTCTGACCCGCCAGCCTTCTGGTTAGCAGTCAAATCCCTTAGGCACTATGCCACCAGAGCTCCTCCAAGGAGTCTGGAATTTCTAAATGTAAACCTGGCCTTCAAGGTTGTTGGTGAAATGCGTAAGAACTCAGCTGCTAACTGAAAGGCTGGCAGTTCGAACCCACCCAGTGGCTCTACAGTAGAAAGACCTGGCAATCTGCTCCTGTAAAGATTACAGCCAAGAAAATCCTGTGGGGAAGTTTTACTCTGTCACATGGGGTTGTTATGAATTGGAATCCACTTCCAGGTTGTTGGGAAGGTTTATCAGAGCAAGAGAATAGAAATTATTTTATTAAACAACATTTTCGCTTGATTCGCAACATTTAAATATCTAGACATGATATGTGGCCCCCATCCTCTTATTTCAGGCCCCATAAATGTTAGGGGCAGACCATTGCTTGAAATCTTTAGATTGGAGAAGATGAAATAAAAAATGGCAGAATCTGCCCACATTTCCTGATTTTGGTATCAAGGTTATGCTTGCTTCATAAAATGAGTTAGGGAGGATTCCATCCTTTTCTATGTTTTGGAATAGTTTGAGTAGGCTTGGTGTCAGTTCTTCTCTGAATGTTTGGTAGAATTCTCCAGTAAAACCATCTGGGCCAGGACCTTTTTTTGTTGGTAATTTTTTGATGACCTGTTCAATTTCTTCTTTTGTTATGGATCTGTTCAACTTTTCCACATCAGTCTGTGTTAGTTTAGGTAAGTGGTGGTGTGTTTCTAGAAATCTGTCCATTTCTTCCAGATTTTCAAATTTGTTGGAGTGAGTTCTTCATAGTATCCTGATATCTTTTTTATTTTAGTTGGTTCTGTTGTGATGTCACCCATTTCATTTGTTACAGAATCTGCCCACATTTCCTGGGTGTTGGATTCTGGCAGTTCTTTGCTTCCAACGCTGTGGTGGCTGAATCACCAGATCTTCTAGGCAGAAACTGTCCTCAAGGACACCACTGATTTTGTATCCTGTGTTGGCTACAGGCATTGCTTTCACAGTTCACAGGAGTCATTCCTGGTAGAGGTTGGCCCACTGGGATGTGCACAGAGCAGAAACAGTCATTTGCTATGGCTACAGAACTGAAAGGTGGGGTCATTGGGCCCTTCTGAGCCAAGCTCTAGTGATCCAAGGCCAGCCCAGGTGGCTAGTGGCTGTCCCTATTGGGTGTGAAGCCCTCAGTCATTTTTGTCTTCCTCTTCCTCCTCCTCCTCCCCACAGCCAGCAAAGACAGAGGTGGGTGGGGTGAGTGTATATGGAATTTCTGCTTCCTCTCTACTTTCCAATTTAGTTTCCTGCTTCAAATCCCACCCACAAGCCAATTTCAGTCAAAGGCATTTCCCTAGTAAAGATTCATCAGGAAAAGTAAGGGAGGAAACCTTGTACCTCTACCTCTTGGCCACCTGGCTGAGGTCCATTTCTTCTAGCCCTGTCCCAGATCTTGCTGTTGCCTGCTATAGCCATATTTTGAGCATAAATTCTGATGTTCTCACAAAAGCCATCTGTCCTCTGTCTCACCACTTCATTGTTACAGGGATTCTGAGCTTGTCAGCCCCACTGTCAAAGAAGACATAAGCAGAGTCCTTGGTATTTGGGACCACATCTATGATCAAGTTTCATTTGGACAAAGCTAAATCAGCCAGAATCACAACCCAGGACAAATTTTTCCCTGTAGAAGGCCCCTAGCCCCTGAATCTGCTCTCCATGGCTCTCTGACTCTCAGAAGGAGTTCTCACTCTGCTTGTCCTGGAGGCAAGTTATAACAAAAAGACCTTGAGGAAAGAAGGGAAAGCCTGACCCCTCCCCACCCTCCCAGGCTGAGGGGATGCCCATCACTCACCAAATCATCCTGGGGAGCAGCCCTGTTCCACAGCCGTCTCTCAGCTGGGGCCGTCTCACCCATGGGGCCCAGCAGTGTCTGCCGATTTGTGGCAGCTCCCTGAGAAGTTTAGCTGCTACCTGCCTTTACCAGGGCTTTCTCTCTCCTTCCCAGAGCGGCCAACCTCTGATCGACCGTCTGTGCACCGTCTGCCTCTCCCAGCATTCCTCTCTGGTAAACCCTCACACGGACACACACACACACACTGTGTATTCTGCCCACTCTCAAGATAAGGACACTGTCTAAAGGTACATCAGATAATGGCACTGGTGGCCTAACCCCTGGCCTGCTGGGAAGGTCAGGAGGGACTTCAGGGCCAGCTGGGAGCAGGCAGGGCAGTTGCCGAGGACTCCTCAGCTGAAGGTGCTCTGGGTGTGCGTGGGGGTTTGGCCACCAGAGAATCCACCTGACTCTGCCCCTGTTGGTCATGAGTGAGCTCTCATCGTGGATCCCCACAGGGCCCTTGGGACTTCAAGTGAACAGTGGCTCCCAGAGGGCCCCAGAAGGGATTCCGGCAGATGCTTCAAAGCCCCGACACAGCCTTGGCATTCTCCATGCCTCCTACAGTGTCAGGTAAAGCAAAGACCATTTCTCCTCTCCTGCTGGGAGCTTGAAGTCTATGCTTCAGGCTGTGGTCAGGGATGCCCATGGCCTAAAGGGCAGTGGACCTCTCACCCACTCACTCTGGGGGCTTTTTGCTCTAATGGGGGACATGCGTGGAGGCTTGCTACCTTGGGAGAGAAGGGGGGAAGGGCTGCTACTGGAAAATGAGAAGCAGTAGGGAATGGGCCCTCCTCTCAACAAGGCGGGGCCTGGAAGCTACTGAAAAAATGCAGCACATTGAATTATAAGATTTTTTTATTTTTATTTTTTAAATCTCATTGCCATAGAGTCAATTCTGACTCATAGAGACCCTGTAAGTCAGAATAGCATTTCCAAGATTGTAAATCTTTATGGAAGCAGATGGCTTCATCCTTGTCCCACAGATCAGCTTGTGGGTTGGAACTGTTGACTTTTGGGTTAGCAGCCAGATGTTTTACCACTGCATGACCATAACTCCTTACACTGAATCATACATGCTGAAACTGTTAAATTGGTGTAATGTTTTGTTGTGTATATTTCACTACAATACAAAACAAAAACAAACATAAAAAGTGAGTCAGTGCCCTGCCTTGTGTCCCTGTCTCTTACCATTTGGTCCGCAGCCTCCTCCTGTCTGTGGGCCTGTCCTGTGTGGACTTATGGAGGGGGCCTGGGGCATGGAGTGCTGGGAACACAAGGTATAATGAAGGCTGTGAAGGAACGCTGGGTCGGCCTCAGAGAGAAGCAGTGTCCTGTCTGCCAGCTCCCAGACAGGGAACTGACTTTAGAGCACTGCCTTGTCAGCTTTTACAGATGAGAACATTGAGCCTAAAACACATTTAGGAACCTGTCCAGGGACAACTGGGGTGGGCGAAGCTGAGACCATTGCTGGGGAAGGCGGTATCTGGCCCCTCTGGGACCCCATCCATGCTGCCTTTACTCACGCGCTTTCCTTTGAAGCAATCACGTCGGGCCGTGGTGGGACCTCACATCTTGCCGGCACACGTGGAACAGGCAGATCCTCAAAGATGTCTCCTTGTACATTGAGAGTGGGCAGATCATGTGCATCTTGGGGAGCTCAGGTAAGCTTGGGAAGAAGTTCTCTAAATTCTCAATGAGGACTCAGAAAAGGCTTTGGCTGGATTTAAATGCCAGAATGAGGAAACAGATTTAAGATGCAGCAAGAGTGAAATCTAATGACATGTCTGTCTGACTGTGAATGGCATAAAACATTAGAGCCTGGTATCATTGTGAAATCTTTAGAAAAATCCTTGAAGGAGTGTAAGGTGTTGCCTAACTTGGAAGTGGATTCATATTTCAAAGCATGGGAAGCACAGTGCCTGGCATATAACTCACTCACTGCCATCGAGTCAGATCTGACTCATAGCGACCCCTCCTTGGGTTTCTGAGGCAGTATCACTACGGAAGTAGATTGTCCAACCTTCCTTCTGAGGAGCGGCTGGTGGGTTTGAACTGCCAGTCTTCTGGTTAGCAGTCAAATGTCTTAGGTGCTATGCTACCAGATTTCTTTTATCTATACCCTGCTTGGAGACAGGAAAAGGGGTTAAATCTGCGCAAAGATGCCTGCTTAGCCTCCATATTTGAAGTCACTGTTATTTTATTTCATTTCAATATGATGTATTTCAAACATACAGACAAGAATAGAGGATAACAGAAAGAATGCTCATGCATTAACATCACTTTATCAATTCTTTTTTTTTTTTTTTT